TTTAAATTTTGTGTTATTACTGAAATTTACTAGTAGGAAGAGATCTTTAGGTAACTTCTAGAAATCTTTTACTTTTCATTATTATCTTTATTGTTTTGAACGAACTTTTGGAAGTTTTGAAAGCCAAAAGCTGATTTAATCATTTGATTCTTTTTTTTCATTCTCTCTAAGTTTAACTTGAATATTTACACTTTATATGAATATGTTTGAGATTTTAATCTTCTATGTACTTGAAGTTTGAAGAAAAATATTTTGAAGTATCATTTTGAGCTAAACTCTTGAAGAAAAATACATACCTTATAAATCTTATCTTTGTGATTGGCAAATTCAAAATTTTAATTCTATATTATTGGAAGTTTGTATAAAATGATATGAAAAATCTATTGAAAATTGAGTAAGTGGTAAAATTCGACAGCAAAATAAACAATAATTTATAAGTGGTGAAGCTTTTCTTAATATGCTAACTCAAATTCTTAATCTATGAATTTGTTATATTTTGTCTCATCAACATATTGAATATTTTTTTACATGGTAATATACTATTAAATGACTAATTTTTTATATTTTTAAATACGCTTTGTTGATTGATTAGGATAATAATTTTATTTTTAGGCATTGCTATGAATAGAATATTAAATATATATTATTTAATAAATAGTTACAAGATTCTAATCTCGATATTTATGGTGTTTTGATCCTATAAATATGTTAAGTTTTTTCCTAATATGGTACGCATTACAGTAAGAAAAAACTAATTAATCGGTCATGATTCGATATGTGTAATATTTTCAGATTTTATTCAGTAGTATTATGAGAAAAAAGTTATTTTTAGCAAATGTTTCTAATTGTTACAATTAGAAGCTTATAATAATAAAAAATAATCACAACGTTGGTACTTACTTTTGATGAAACACATGTAAATATATGATGGAAATGTAATCCATATAATTATAGTATATTTATGAAAAATTTTATTCTTTAAGAAGCCAAAATATATTTTATATATTACATAATAATTTCTGAAAAGACTATTCATATATTTAGTAGGTAACTATAATTTTTATTTATTTTTCTTGAAAACAAATTTCTTTGGATTGAGAAAGCAACTATATGTGTCTTTTTCAAAACAAATAAATTGGTGTTATTTAATTGAAAAAAATTAAAAAATACATTACCACAGAATCTTTAAATAAAATTGTGCTCTCTAAGAAAAAAAAACAAAAAAGAAAAAACTGAACACTGTAGCTCCACTTGCTTATTATTTTTCTCTTTGCATATAAACAGTAAATTCCTTCTAAACCCTTTCTCTGACCAGATAGAACTGAGAGTATCTGCAGATTAAGCTATTGCATTGAGAGAAACACTAAAAGATTCTGAAGATTTGAGCTTTACATGATTTCTTAAGAGGATTTTGCGTTGCGTGACTCTCCTCAGGTAAATTAATGGAAGTACAAAACCCTCCCAGGCAGAATTGAAGTCTGACTTGCTTCGGGTGGTTGCTCGATGTGCAATTACTCTGAAATAGTAATGCCTCCTTTGTTAATGCACAAATGCCTTTTCTTGTATGTTCTGTTTATGTATACAAGTACGCTTTGTTTTAGTTCATGGCAAAATGATAAGGGTATGGAGTTAGGGAAGACGCTGTTTCAGTTTGGTTTTATTCGAAGTAATGATTCTAAAAGTAGTGCTTCTGCATCTGCTGAAATATCAACTTTTGAATCTTCCTCAAAAAGTTCTGTATCTTGTGCGAATCTGGGCGGTGTTGGATCTTTTAATACCACTTGCTTGCTGAACTCAGATTTGTATCTGAATTCTGATCTTTATGTTTATGGTACGGGAAATCTTGAAATACTTCCTGGTGTTTCCATTAAGTGCCCTTTTGAAGGTTGCATGATAGTTTTCAATTTGTCTGGAAATGTTAAAGTCGGTCAATCAGTGGAAGTTGTTGCTGGTTCTGTGATTTTTTCTGCTGCCAATTTGACAATGGAATGTAATTCTTTTATAAATACAACATCCTTGGGTGGTTTGCCACCATCTCAAACTAGTGGCACACCAGTTGGTTATGATGGAGCTGGTGGAGGGCATGGCGGTCGGGGTGCATCCTGTTTGAAAGACAATACGACTAGCTTTTGGGGTGGTGATGTTTATAGTTGGTCGACTTTGTCTGAGCCATGGAGCTATGGAAGTAAGGGATCTAGTAAATCTGCAGAAAAGCCATTTGGAGGAAATGGTGGTGGGCGAGTTAAGCTTCAAGTGAAGGATATGCTATATCTGAATGGATCTGTAGCTGCAGAAGGGGGTGATGGAGGACTAACAGGAGGAGGTGGGTCTGGTGGAAGCATCTTTATACATGCGGTAAAGATGTGAGTACATGAAAAATGCTCAGATTAATCTCGTGCTTTTAGTTTTCTGTAAAACTGTTCTACACTGTTGCTGCATCAACTTTGCGTCCGTCTATATTTACAACTATTAGAACTGAAGCTCCAATTTTGAGGAAATCACCAACATTTCTGTCATCGGAACAGTATCTTCAAGCTGTTTTTTCTCCTAGTTCTTTTGGATCAAGTGTGCAGGAACACACATATTTCCGTAGCATAACTAAGAGAATAAGGAAAACTTTATAGCTAAAGTCAGCTTTTTATTTGTTAGTTTAACATGTGTCTTTATGTGGACAATTCCATTGAAACTGAATAAATTATGCATAAGTTGGTAGGCATACATAATGGCTTCATCTGTATGTTTAGTTAGTTGCAATGTGTTATATTTGAAAATATGTTCTCTTGCAGTGGAATCATAGATATTTTATATATTTATTGTCATTGATCATTTCCTTTTTCAGTTTGATGCTGTTTTCATGCATATATATATATATATATAATTCCTACTTGTGGCTTTTTTTATACATAATACTCAAGCATTTTTTTTTAAAACTTCCTTCCCAGGTAGGTTTAAAATCTAATTTTATGACAAGAATGGGCCTTTGTGTTCCATGTCATTAGTGTTGTTGATGAAAGTTCATAACAAGGAAATTTAAGGGTTTCATAAGTTTATTGTCTCTATTTGCGGGCATGGGGAAACGGAAGTCTTTAATACTGGTGATTAATGTCTTAGGAGCAGTGACTGTTCTATTACATTTTCAAGTTTTTCTTTCCTGCCAACTGTTTTTTCTTGATGAAATGTAGAGGGAGAATGGTGAAGTAACTT